AGAAGTATTTTTGGGCAAGGCGATGTCCTTTGTGCAAGTTGGGGTTCTGGCAGAGTCATCTGTGATAGCTGCCATCAGCAGTGGTGCATGAGAAGTTTCCTTCATAACCTTCTGGCTCCCTTCTGTGTTCGGGTAAGGGACGCTGTTTCGATTCTGATGACTTTTGCATCTTTGAGGCGTCTGAGGGATGAGAAAATCCTGGCTGGGAAAAGGGACTCCAGGGATTGTGTGGGGTTTCCTGGGAGCAGACCCCCATCCTGAGTCATCGTGCAGGAGACGTTGAGTCTATCAATCTGCTGAAAACTACACCCGCGAGGCAGGAGGATCTCAAGTTCAAAGCCAGCCTCAGCAACTATCAAGGCCCTAAGCAACTCAGTGAGACCCTGTCTCTAAATAAAATACATAATAGGGCTGAGGATGGGGCTTGGTGGTTGAGTGCCCCCCGAGTTCAATTTCCAGTAACAACAACAACAAAAAAGAAACCACACCAGTCTCCAAGGCCCGGGGAGGAGAGCAGGTCTGACCAGAAGGTGTTACTCCTTAACAAACAGTGACTCCTGAGTAATTCTCCAGGCATTCTCCCACACCCCCGGGAGGGATTCCCCCACCAGAGGCAGAGCCTGCTGCAAAGTTGTCCCCCAGCTGGATTTGGATGCAAGCCAGTGTCATTCACGACATGTGTTCTTAAGAAGTCAGCCCTAGATTGTTGGAACAAGCAGCTCCTGGTGTGGGACTTGGGATCATTTTGCAAGATGGGTTTTTAGATTTGATATTTATTCATTGAACAATTCATCCTCCTAAGGGTGAAGGGCACTAAGATTTGAATGTGGTTTGCCTCCCCCCCAACACATGTTGAAATTGATTCTGATTATAATGGAGATAGCGAGCCTTTGAGAAAAGGCATTACTCCCTCTTTAGGGACCTGTTCTAACAAAAACAGGTTATTAAATCAAGGCCACCAATTTGTTCTGGACCTTTCAATGCACCTGCTTCCTTTCCATTGCTCTTCCATGAGCTGGAGCAGCACCAGGCCCTCACCCAACACACTGCCTGATCCTGAACTTTCCAGCCTCCTGAATTGTGACTCAAGATAAACCTCTTTTCTTTATAGATTACTCAAGTCTTGGATAATCTGTGATAGCAACAGAAAAAATACAAAGAGGGGGGGGTATTAAAATGAATAAGAGGGGCTGGAGTTGTGGGCTCAGTGGTAGAGTACTCGCCTAGCATGCACCCTCAGCACCACATAAAAATTAAATAAAGATATTGTGTCCAACTAAAACTAAAAAATATTTTTTAAAAAAATTAATAAGACAATTTCTGCCATTGAAGACTCAAAATTAGTTTGATTGATGGGGCTCACCTTGGGTTTCACTGAGTTTTCTGTACCTCTGAGTTATCATTCTGTAACCGATGGCTTTGAAACTGTCACAATTTTAAGTTGTCAGTGTAAATCTTGGGCTTAAACCATCTTGAGCCTCATGGGCCTCCGTTTTATCTGGACTATTACGACTTCTCTGACTGCGGTATTGGGGGAGACAACCAACCAATCTAGTTTGCCCAAACTAGGAGCAGCGAGGAGGGTGTTCCCAGGTGTACCAAAAGTTAGGTACTTTAAGCAAGTTACCTAACTTCAGGTTTAGGCTTTCAGTGGCCAATCAGAACAAGTCCCAAGCAAACCAGCAGGGATTGGTCACCCTAGTGTTGGGAACAGGGGACATGAAGAGGGAACAGGAGGGAAAAGGGTAGGTAAAAGAGGAATAATCATTACTAATGTGTATTTTAAGATTTTTATCTTTCTTTTTTCTTCCTTTTTAATTTTATTGTTGGTACTGGGAAATTTAATAATTGATATTTATTTTTAGTTTTCGGCGGACACAACATCTTTGTTTGTATGTGGTGCTGAGGATCGAACCCGGGCCTCACAAATGCCAGGCGAGCGTGCTACCGCTTGAGCAACATCCCCAGCCCCTAAATTTAATAATTGAATAACACCTGGAGCAAATTATTTATACCTCTATTTTATAGGAGTTACCTCTATTTTATAGGAGTGTAAACTTGGACCCAAAGAAGGTAAATCACTTGTCAGAAATGTCTACTTGGAGCTGGGTGTGGTGGTTCAACCCTATAATCCCAGCAGCTCAGAGGCAGGAGGATCACAAGTTCAAAGCCAGCCTCAGCAACTTAGTGAGGCCTTAAGCAACTCAGTGAGACCCTGTCTCTAAATAAAATACAAAAAAGGGCTAGGGATGTGACTCAGTGGTCGAGTGCCTCTGAGTTCAACCCCTGGTACCCCCCACTCCACCAAAAAAAAAAAAAAAAAACCCAGAAAAGAAATGCCCACTCGGTCAGGGGCAGAGTCCAGCTTGTCACAGTGCAAATCTGTGTCCCCCACCCCCCGCATTACTCTTCCCTGCCTTACAGGCCCTGCGTAAATGTGGTGTGGATAAAGTCCTGAAACTATATTTGAAATTAATTCCCAGAGGCCAGAAGCAGACTCCTATGGAATCACAAGTCAGTGGAAGACGTGTTGCCATGGATACCCACTCATCTCCAGCCAGGCTGTGTGCAAATGGAGCCACAGTGGTGGGGAGCCTCTGTCCCTAAATGAGGTGCAGTCCTGAAGGAAGAGACTCTCGGGAGCGATTTCCCGAGCATGCCATTGCTTGCTGCTTCAGGAGAGTCTCCATGGCAGCACAAAGCCCTAGGAGGTGCTCATCGAGCACCAAGTGACAGAGTGGCTCAGAGCATGGATTTAGGGACAATGTCTTCCTCCACCAGCTGCTGGCTGGGTGACCTTGAGCAAGTTACCTAACCTCAAAGTTTCTTCATTGTTCAGGGGTGGAAGTAGTCACACTCACACCCAACGGCTGTCAGCTGTCATGAAGGTGGAAAGAAATGGGATGATGTCCCAAAAGCACAATGCGAGGCCCAGAGCAATCCAGGAAGAAACATTCACTAGCTGCCAGTGGCCAACTGCCCACCCTGAGTCTTTAAATGAGAACAACCCACTTGAGAATCAGTGGAGCAGACGGCATGCCAGTCGATTCTCCATTACTTCCTTCTTCTTCTAGCTCAGCCATCCCACGGACTATTTGGACTGTTCCTAGCCACAGCCACATTGGGATCTCTGAGGATACATGACCGATCTACTGTTTTTGTGGGGAGGGTACCCGGGATTGAACCCAGGGGCACTCAACCACTGAGCCACACCCCCAGCTCTATTTTGTATTTTACTTAGAGACAGTAAAATACTTAGCAACTCAGTGAGAACTGAGTTGCTTAGCACCTCACTTTTGCTGAGGCTGGCTTTGAACTCGAGATGCTTCTGCCTCAGCCTCCCGAGCAGCTAGGATTACAGGCATGCACCACTGCGCCCAGCTACCAATCTTGATTGTGCTTGCTCCTGGCCCTGATGGGTCTCCAGAACTCCTTATCGCCAGAAGCTCAATCCATTCACCAGGATCATCATCTGAAGGGTGACCAGACTGTGATCCATCCTTATGAATATGTAACCCTGCACGCACATGACCTTAGCAACTCAGTGAAGAGAGGAGATGGGGGGAAAGATTGAGGATGTGTTATCCATGTGATGAATTAGGTGGGTTAGAAAGCATCGTGACTTATTTGGCATAAAGTAGCTGGCATCTCTGAAAGTTACATCAAGATGTTCATGTTTAAGTGGCAATATGGCAGCATGCTTTAAGAGCCCCGGGAGAGACACCAGACACCAAGGACAGCTAAGGGGGAGAGGTCCAGGTACAGTGCCATCGGTGACACAGAGACTGAAACGAAGCCTATGAGGCATTCAGCGAGAAGCCTTGGGAATCTTGTGTTTTCTCAGCAAGAACAACTCTTCCCTGAGTTTACACACAGGTGTGTGCACCTGCTGGTAGGTTTCACCCACTGATTCTTCACCTACATTGGAGGTCATTGCAGTCTCTTCTACAACCAAAATTTAATCATTGAGGGAGTTTTCAGATCCTTGGAGGACCGGGTGAGCCCTATAAATGCCTGCTGTAGGAACAGGGAGGATGCTGAGCAGCTCAGGTCGTGCACCGTGCCTCTGCCAATCTGTAAATATACCGCTCAGCCGGACGCTGTGGCACATGCCTGTAATCCCAGTGGCTCAGGAGGCTGAGACAGGAGGATCACGAATTCAAAGCCAGTTTCAATAACTTAGTGAGGCCCTAAGCAACTCGGTGAGATCCTGTCTCAAAATATTAAAAAGGGCTGGGGATGTGGCTCAGTGGTTAAGCACCCCTGGGTTTAATCCCCAGTCCCCCACTCCCCAATTGCCTAGCTTGATCTCAGTAGCCCTATGAGGTTGATGCCATTATCATCCCATATTTACAGATGAAAACTGAGGTTTAGAGAGTTGAACAGCTAACGGCAGAGGGAGGCTTTATGAAACTGGAGTCCACAGATTTCTCCTGAGACGTGTTCAGGTGATTCAAATCCTTGGAACTGTTTCCCCTTCGCAACTGCCTGCTGTTCTTCTGCCACTCAGCCCCCTTACTACAAATTCAGCATCGAAATCCTGTTTCCTTGGTCCAGCATTTCCCCTAGTCTCAATCCATAAAAAGCACAAAACATCAAGGATAATTTGACTATATTAACATTAGTGTGTCAAACACCAACTGGGAAAAGAGATTTGCTGCATATTTAACTACTAACCATTAAGACAATAAGAAAGCCAGGAGCAATGTTGCACACAGTGTAATCCCAGTGACTCAGGAGGCTGAGGCAGGAGGACTGAAAGTTTGAGTACAGCCTCAGCAACTTAGCAAAAGACTCTAAGCAACTTAGTGAAACCCTATCTTAAAATAAATAATAAAAAGGGCTGGGATAAGTACCTGTGGGCTCAATACCCAGTATCAAAAGAGAGAGAGAGAGAGAGAGAGAGAGAGAGATGGGGAAATGACAGGAGCAGATATTCCACCAACGCAGAAACACAAATGGCAAATGAACAAATGGAAAGTTGCTCCACCTGATCCGAAGTCGTGGGCACAAGGATTAAGAACACAGTTTCCATTTCACACCCACTTGCTGAGAAAAGCTCCAATCTTGCCAGGTGTTGACAGAGATGATCTAGATCCTGAAGATGGTTTCCTTGTTGTCTTCTAAAAGTTAAAAAACAAAACAACAACAACAAAAGAAACTTTCATACACATTTACATTGAATAACTGCTATAAATAAGATGTCCATAATTTCTCCAGTTTTGGTCTGAACACTAAACTTACAATAAGAAGATGCAGGTTCTAGAACAGAATTTCTGGTTAAATGACCCTGGGCCAGCGAATTTAGATCTCTGCCTTTACCCACATCAAACAGGGGTACCTTTTCTTAACCCTTTTTCTAGACAAGCAGACACAAGTTTATGTGACAATATTTTGCTAAAGTTACTAAACAAAAATACGGTCAAATACGTAAGATTTTTATCATATCAGCTATTTTCTAATATTTGAGTAATATTTTTATAATTTAACCAAGGCAAAAATTGTATATACTCAACAATACAAAATTCAGTAGTTAAACAAGGTAAAACAAAATAATAAAACCAGTCGTAATAATATATCCATTGACCCATGTTTTCAATTATACTAAGAATTAATTGTGTGGTGGCACACGCCTGTAATCCTAGTGGCTTGGGAGGCTGAGGCAGCAGGATTCACAAGTTCAGGGCCAGCCTCAGCAACTGAGACCCTGTCATAAAATAAGAAGTAAAAAGGGCTGGGCATGTGGCTTAGTGGTTAAGTGCCCCTGGGTTCAATCTCTGGTACAAAAAAAAAAAAAAGAATTAATTGTAAAAAATAAGTAAAATTTCATGGAAATCTTCCCTGTTAGCTCAGGAATTCATGTCATTGTCAACAGGTTGTCTAGTACCAGCCCCTGCTTCCAGTACTGGAGCAGTTGTATCGTCCATAGCTTTGGTGGAACAGATTTGGCCACCCAGCTGTGTTCTGTCTGTGAGTCCCTCAGCCAGATCCAGCCTGCCATTCTCCTCATCAGTGATTGTGTCTAACTTCTCAGATATGAAATCTTCAAAGATGAGGTGACAAGCCCAGGTTCCCTCAACGGCACCCAAACCATCAATAACTAGATTATTTTCAACCACAACATTTAGCAGAATCACCAACTTTTCCTTTGGTTGTTAAGGTTATGACGACTATTACGATTCATCAAATAGTCGCGGACCTTCTGAGTGATTTGGATTTTGTTTTAGCCTTGAGACTTTTTCAGCCTTTAGAGTTGCCACATGGGAACAATCTACTCTTAAAGCAGACTGTAGTTCCACAGGCTGGGAAGTCAAAAGCCAAGATGTCAGGAGGTTCTGTACCTGGTGAGGGCCCAGCCTCTGATTCCAAGATGGCGCTTTGTTGCTGTGTCTTCAGTGTAACCCAGGGTAAAAGCAAAAAGCTAAACATTTTTTTCAATATGTATTTTTTAGTTATAGGTGGACACAATATCTTTATTTTATTTTCATGTGGTGCTGAGGATCAAACCCAGTGCCTCACACATGCTAGGCAAGCGCTCTACCAGTGAGCCACAACCCCAGCCCAAGGCTAAACATTTTTAAATGAAAGTCTGCAATCCATCTTGATTTGGGTTGTTTGGGTGGGCAGGTGAGAGAATGGTTATACCCTTTGCATTTCTATGTGGATCCTCAGTTGTCCTAGTACTTTTTACTAGATTCTTCCTCCTTTCCCAGTGTCTGAAATGTCATCTCTGAGATAAATCATTCCCCTGTGCACCTGAGTCTGTTTCAGTGATGTCTGTGGTGTTTCGTGTTTTTGTCTTTGGCTACCTAAGCACCACACTATCCTAATGATTCTTCTTTTATGATAAGTCTTGACATTGTCTTTTTAGTTTAATTGCTTTCCCATTTGAATGGTAGAATAAGCTCCTTAACTTCTTAGAAAACCTCAGTTGAAATTTTGATGACTATTGTCCTGTTTCTGACGACACTGGAAGCAATGTAACTTTTCATTTTATTTCCATTATATTTGTTCAAAATATTTATTTTAGTTTTTTTTTTTTTGGACCAGGGATTGAAATCAGGGGTATTTAATCACTGAGCCACATCCCCAGCCCTATTTTGTATTTTATTTAGAGGCAGGGTCTCACTGAGTTACTTAGTGCCTCCTTTTGCTGAGGCTGGCTGGGAACTCATGATCCACCTTGAAGTTTTTTCAGCCTTTAGAGTTGCCACATAGGAACAATCTACTCTTAAAGCAGCCTCACGAGCAGCTGGGATTACAGGTCGGCACCACTGAACCTGGCTATTTTAGGTTTTTGGTAGATGCCTTTTATCTGGATAAGGGAGTTCTCTTCTGTTTTTAGTTTGCCCTGAGTTATTACCATGAAGGTTGTTGAATTTTATCAAAAAATATTTTTTCAACTATTGAGATTGTCTTATAGCTCTTTAATATATTAATGTGGTTACTACAGGAATATGTATTTTCTAATGTTAAATTATACTGGCATTCCTGGGATAAACCCAACTTTAATTATGATGTATCATTCTTTTTATATTTTGATAGAATGTATTTACTAATATTTAACTTAAAATTTTTTCCATTTTATTTATTTTATTTTTTATTTGTTCTAATTAGTTATACATGACAGTAGAATGCATTTTGACAAATCCTACATAAATAAAGTATAACTTCTCATACTTCTGGTTGTACATGATGTAGAGTTACACAGGTCATGTAATCATATTAACTTGGGATTTTTCTGTGTTTTTGGTAATATTGATCTTGCCTTTTTTTTTTTTGGAAGAATAACTACTTCTTTTTTAAAATTTATTTTGAACCCAGTGCTTCACACGAGCTAGGTGAGCACTCTATCACTGAGCCACAACCCCAGCCCTGGTCTTGTTTTGATATCGAGTTTGTTCAGACATCATAGAGTGAGTTGTGATATATTCCATACCAGAAGAGGTATGGAACAGAATGATCAATTGCTTGAAAGTTTAGTACAACTTGCTTCTAGGACCACTTCAAAATTTCATCAATTTCCTTAATAATTCTAGAATTCATATTTTCTCTAGTTTCAAACTGACATCTTTTGCTGGGGAATTGAACTTTTTATCATTAGGTAGTGATCCTGTCCATCTTTAACAATATTTTTTGTTAACCTGTGTTATCTAAAATTAATATGGTTGCTGGGCACAGTGGTGCACACCTGTAATCCCAGCAGCTCAGGAGACTGAGGCAGGAGGATCTCCAGTTCAAAGCCAGCCTCAACAAAAGCAAGGCACTAAGCAACTCAGTGAGACCCTGTCCCTAAATAAAACACAAAACAGGGCTAGGGATGTGGCTCATTGGTTAAGTGCCCCTGAGTTCAATCTTTGGAACCAATAAGTAAATAAATAAATAGAATTTAATATGGCTATACTGGCTTTCTTTGGCATAGTGTTTGCTAGGTGTATCATTTCCCATCACCTCTCCTTTCAACCAGTTCAAATTCCTATGTTTTAGGAGTGCCTTTTGGAATGATCCCATTAAGAAGACATGCAATGAAAGCAGTAGGGACTTGGTAAGTACAATAAATTGAAGCAAAATTGTCAGTGCACAATAATAACAATGACATTAACATAAAATTTGTAGGTTTGGAAGAAGGATGAAATAAAATACTGGACAACAATAAATTAGCAAGGAGGGATTGGAGTTAGGGAAGGGAACGAAGATAACTTGGGCCTTGTTAAATATGGGTAGTAGAATGTTCCTGCTTTGGGACTTTGTGTAGTGAGCTCATGCAACTCATCTTTTCTGCTGTGTGTGACATCTTTCAGTAAGATCGGATGTGGTTCATCATGATCTATGTGAATCCTGGGTTCCTCCTTACAGAGCACCCTTCTTTGTACATGCTTGGCTTGAAGGAAGGCTGTCCACCTGAGACCACCATAGCTTATTTGCAGGTTTTGACTAAATATGGGGCTCTCAGGTTCAGCTGGCCAAGGTTTAGTCTCCTGACGCTGTTAATCATTACATCATTCTCAGGACAACCCTGCATTTCCCATTTATTTGTTGCTCACTGGGCCCTATTCTAATTTTGACATGCTTTCAGTCTAATAACACATGGCAAAACCTGTTTTATCCAGGATAGAGGTGTTTGGAAAAGGGTTCATCTGGTCCACCATATGCTGAGATGCAATTTGAATTTTAAAAGCTTAAAGGTGAGACTGTTAAATGTCACCAGAAGGTTTTTAGCATATTCCAAATGACTGGAACACTTTGGAACTCCCTTTTCTTTCTTTCTTTTCTTTTCTTTTCTTTTTTTTTTTTATACCGGGGATTGAACTCAGGGGCACTTGGCCACTGAGCCACATCCCCAGCCCTATTTTGTATTTTATTTGGAGACAGGATCTCACTGAGTTGCTTAGGGCCTCACTAATTTGCTGAGGCTGGCTTTGAACTCACGGTCCTCCCTGCTTCAGCCTCCCAAGCTGCTGGGATTGCCACTATGCCCAACTGAACCCTGGTTTTCTTCTGAGCTTTGTTTACTTTAAAATTTGATGAAGGGGTTGGGAATAGAGCTCAGTGGTTGAGGATGTGCTTAGCATGCACAAGACCCTGGGTTAAATCCCCAGCACCAAATAAATGAATTAAATAAAATTTAGGAGACATCCAGATCTATATTCTTTTTTTATTATTATTATTTCAGGGACAGGGGCTGGGGTTGTGGCTCAGTGGCAGAGAGATTGCCTAGCATATGTGGGGCACTGGGTTCGATCCTCAGCACCACATAAAATAAATAAAAGAAAGAAAGAAAAGTATTGTGTACATCTACAACTAATTTTTTTTTTTTAATTTTAGGGACAGAGAATTGGGGCATCCATTAGAAAACTGCTTCTAGCCTGAACTTGTTGGTTTAAATAAAATTGAGTCACTGTTTTTAGTCTTCTATGAATCCACCAAACTGTGATATTTAGTAGATTAGATGTCTTCATTTTGTGCAGAAACAGATCATAAAACGCTTTGCCCAAAGCCTACTACAGTCAAAGCTCTGAGTGTGATATCAAGCTTCCATGATCTACTCATGGAAGTCACTGTGATAAAGTATTCTGTGCCGTAATTATTCACAGGGAACCAACACCAGCTCTGGGTACTCACCTCTTGTGCTTGAGTTTAATAATCAGGTGCAGAGGGCTGTGGCTCAGAAGTAGAGCGCTTGCCTAGCATGCATGAGGCACTAGATTCGATCCTCAGCACCACATAAAAATAAATAAAGGTATTGTGTCCACCTACAACTAAAAAATAAATATTTTTTAAAAATTAATCAGGTGCAGAGCTTTGCTGGGAATAGACACCCTACCTCCTGGTTTCTGGATCTGTGCATCAGTCTGTCTCCCCTATTTGAAATGGGAGCCTCACTCATCATTACATCATTCTCAAAGATCACTGTGCACATCCCAGAGGCTCAGGAGGCGGAGGCAGGAGGATCGCGAGTTCAAAGCCAGCCTCAGCCACAGTGAGAGACCCTAAGCAACTTGGTGAGACCCTGTCTCTAAATAAAATATTAAAAAGGGCAGGGATGTGGCTCCGTGGTCAAGAACCCCTGGGTTCAATCCCTGGTACAAACAAAACACAACACTATGTACAATTCTGAGATGCTTCTGGTACTCTGGTAATTTCTCTTGATCTGGTACCTTGGATCAGTATAAATTGCTGAGTGCTCTTTCCCCATCTTTCTTCCTATCTGGAGCTGAAGTTCTCTCTGCGTGATGTTCTAAGAAGATGAAGTAAAATAGGAAAGTGGGAGTCTTCCTTTCCTTCTGCTGCCTGTTAACATACCATATGCTCAAATCCCTTTTTATTCATCTCGATCCAAATCTGGGTTTCAATTGACCTTTTTCTGTCTAGAGTTTGAGTGCCAACCCTTCTGCATCTTAGTCTCCTTTGCTTCTCCTTAATGGTCCAGGTTATCTGGAAAATTTCCATCACCTTCCAACTTCCACGCAGGTGCTTGGAAAAATCTGAGCTTATCTGAGTACTACTCCCCCAAAGTCCGCTTTGTCCTTCCCATCCAGGACACTCTCAGGCCCAGGGCTGGGCGCAACTGGCATTTTCAACAAGTGCATCCATACAGCAAGAATCCCAAGTTTAGAAGTTCCTTATTATTTAGTCTTTCTGAGATCATATACTTCACTTTGACATATGTTGACTTGTGATATATTCTTTTTTTTGGAACTAAGATTAAACCCAGGGGTGGGTGCTTAACCCCTGAGCCACATCCCCATCCCTCAGCATCTCACTGAGTTGCTTAGAGCTGGCTTTGAACTCGTGTCTCACGAAGTTCGAAGCTGCTGGGATTATAGGCATGCACCACCTCACCCAACAGGATATATTCTTATTACTTGACTCTTGCATTGATGTTATTTTTTTTTCATGTGTATGTAAGTCATCCTATAATTTAGTTTGCTCTCCTTGCAGGAAGGAGTCAAATTGTATCTTCCATAGCTTGAGTCCTAGGCACAAATGGATGCTTGATAAATATTTAATTCACAAATAAATGAAGAAGCAATATTTTGAGTCATTTGGAGAGAGATTTTGGGGGGGCCTAAAGTGTTAATAATTCATAGATTTCTGGGTACAAACTCTTTTAAGGTCCCACTTTGTTATAGCTTACACATTTAATTCTGTTACTTATCATGAAAGCAGGAAGTTTAGTGATTAGAATATAAATTTGGGTGGGGGGGGTACTGGGGATTGAACTCGGGGGCACTCAACCTCTGGGCCACATCCCCAGCCCTATTTTGTATTTTATTTAGAGACACAGTCTCCCTGAGTTGCTTAGCGTCTCACCATAGCTGAGGCTGGCTTTGAACTCATGATCCTCCTGCCACAGCTTCCTGAGCCACTGGGATTACAGGCGTGCGCCAAGATGCCTGGCTAGAACATGGATTTTTTTTGTTCTGATATATACAACTTTGTTTGGGTATCAGCAGTATCCCTGATGAGCTGTGAGACCTAAGGTAGATTATTTAACCTCTCTGAGCCACAAAAATTTCCTCATTTGTCAAGTGGAGACTAAGAGTTCCACCTTGGAGAGTTGTTATTGGGTGGCTTCAATGAGATGATGGACATAAAGCATGGAGCACACGGTGAACCACACAGGAAAAGCTAACTGATATTTGCCTGTTCCCTGCCACTCATCGTCATCCTGTTCCCTGGGGTGATGGAGGTGGGAAAGGTCACAGCCTGGTAGAGTCAAGAGCCACCCAAGTGAACAAATACCCATATGTACCATGGGCTGCAGGGCTGTGTGTGATGGAACAATTAATTTTGCCTGGACAAGACTGCTGCAAGGTGGTGGCATCTGAGCTGCAGATTGGGCAGAGGGCTCCGTGGCTGGCTTAGAATTGTCCCACGGGGTCTGCTTGGGGAATGGGTCATGCAAATGGCTTCTAAGCCTGGAGGTGTTGTCCAGCGGCATCTGTGTATACACGGTGTCTTGTGCTATCCGTTTTTTCTCTTGCCCACATTTTCATATGCTGATACGGCCTTTGTGTGATTCCATCACTGTTTGCATGGGACTCCCTGATCAAATAGTATCTCATGTTTTCTTGTTATAAACACACTCTAAGTCAGGTACAATGGCACATGCCTACAATCCCAGCAGCTCAGGAGGCTGAGGCAGGAGAATCATGAGTTCAAAGCCAGCCTCAGCAACTTAGCCAGACCCTAAGCAATTTAGGGAGAACCTGTCTCTAAATAAAATGTAAAACAGGGCTGGGGACATGTTTCAGTGGCTAAGCGTCCATGGGTTCAATCCCTGGTGCTCCCCCCACCAAAAAAGATAAACTCTAAGTCTTTGGAGGCAAGAAATGTGTCTTTGTTCACACAGACAGTAACAAACACATAGTGGGTCATGTTTAATGAGTGAATGAATAGAAGAACAAGTGAATGAATACCTCTGATGGCTAGCTCCACCACGTGCTGGCTATGAGATCATCGACCCTCTGCGCTTCCGTGCTTCTGTCTGTAAAGTGGGTTAGTAACAAGTGCACATTAGACAGTGGCCCCTGTAGGCACCATTCAGGTCTGGCTGATGTGCTGTTGAATTTGGGAGATACCTGCAGACTTGGGCAGGATGAAGCCTAGGCATTCTGCTTCAGTGGCTGATAGGAGAAGGCTTCAGAACTCTGTCAAGGCTGGGTTGGGACTTGTCTGCTGATAAGGAGTTTCTCTCTCTTATCTGCCACCCAGAAAGGAAGGGGCACCTGGGAAGGATCCCTGGCCTCCCACCTGTCTCAGGGGAGTCACGGACTCAGGGAGGGCTGGAGGTGAATTCCCCATCTCCTCCTGCCTCCTTGGTTACACTGTGAAACTGGAGCTAATTAAAACTTCTTTCTTGTCAACCACTGGGTGAAGAAGAGTCACCCAGAATATGATTCATCCCTGGAGATCACCTAAGTATGTCTAAATAATAAAACTGTGACAGGGAAAAACCTCATCTGGATAAAGAAATTCCAAGTCCTCGGAGTCCTGGGGGTAGGGAGCGTCCACAGACTGTGAGTTACAAGAAAGAATGAACTGCCCTGTGCTGTGGCGAATGCCTGTAATCCCAGCAGCTCTGGAGGCTGAGGCAGGAGGATCATGAGTTCAATGCCAGCCTCAGCAACTTATCGAGGCCCTAAGCAGCTTTCAGGCTGGGACCTCCCGGAAAGTCATTTGTTAATTTAATTCCTTTATTCATTTATTCACCTGATGAATATTCCCAGAGCCCACATGTTTTGGTCATATTTTTTGCTGCTGTGACCAAAAGACCTGACAAGAACAATTATCAATTATTTGGCACTCATGGCTTGAGAGGTCTCAATCCATAGACAGCTGACTCCATTTCTCTGGGCCCGAAGTGAGGCAGAACATCATGGTGGAAGGCTGTGGTGGAGGAAAGCAGCTCAGAACAAGACAATCAGGAAGCAAAGAAAAAGACAATCAGGAAGCAAAGCAAAGCAGGTCTGCTCACCAGCAACAAAATATGGCTCCTTCAGCCATACCCTACCTGCAGAACCCAGTTAATCCACATTAGTGGATTAATGCACTGATTAGGTTAAGGCTCTCATAACCCAATCATTTCCCCTCTAAACTTACTTTCATCGACTCATTCATGAACTTTTGGGGGAATGCCTCATGTCTAAACCATAACGCCACAATTGCAGGACCAATACGTGGCCCACGGAGAAGAAAGGACAGCTCAGTTTTATTTCTCGTTGCCTCTCTGTGGCAGATAACTGGCTTGGAAAGGTGCAAGTTTAGCAGTGAGGAGAGATAAAATCAAGAGGCAGGACTAAGGAAGCAGACTTTGAGGAATACATTATCCTGGGGACTGGGGATTGAAACTTGAGGTGTGAGTGAAGAGGCGGCCAAGAACTTGGAGGAAGATGCTCCAGCCCAAACCAGATAGATTGGCCCAAAGCCAGCATAAATTTCAGAAGCCCTGATAGAGTGAGCTTTCTTTCAGGCATGGGTGTTCGTTCACCAGTAGCCTCGGAGATGCCCCTCTGCTGTGTCTCTGAGGCTTCCTGCCCATGGCACATTCTTAATGGGACATGCTCAACTCAGCCAGGATGTACCCCACCGGTCTGGAGGGCTTGGAGGGCACAGGTCTGGAAGGTTCCCTTGTGGTGGATTTAAGTGGTCAAGAGCCTCCCTCTCAAGTGGGAGGCAAGGCTCAGCGCAGCCAGAAGACCCAGATGAGGTCACAAAGCTCACTACTCCTTGTTAACTGAATGAATGGAATTGATTGATGGAAGAAACCCCACTGTGCAATGTGAGCCCAATATAGCCTTAGAGAAGACTTCCTGGTGGAAGTGACATTAAATTAAGATGTGGTTAAAAAGAAAGGAGCAGCCAGACTGAGATGAGCTTAAATATCCCTAAAAGAAAAGACCATAATGGGGATTTAACCAGTGGTTGTCTAAAGGCCTTTCCGGATGCTCCCCAGCTTTGGAGTCAGGCTGTCCTGGGTTGGAATTCTCTGTTCTGTCCTTTCCAGGCAGAGCCCCTGGGCAAGCCCTCGCTGTCCTGGCGAGCCTGGGTTTCTTCTGAGAAAGGAAGCCAGTACCAGTGTCTGCTTCAGAGGATGACATAGGACAACTCATGTAGCGTTACTCTGTTGGCCTGTGAACCCATATCAGTCCCTTTCTTTCTCCTGGAGCCCTCTCTGGACAGAGATCCTGGCTGAGTCTCTTCGGTGAATGCAGCGCTCAGTAGCAACAGGTACATGGTAGATGTTCAATAAACTGTGCCCCTCGATTTCTGATCTCACCTTGTGGGATCCTGCCTCCTGGGGTTGCAACGCCTTCTGACTACACCCCGCCCCACTGTGCACCCTCTGGGAGAGTAATGATCAGTTCTGAGATCCAGAACATAGTAGGTGCAGCATCCCTGTCTTTAGGTCTTTGCAGAAAGGCTGTTGGGGTCGGGTTGTGCTGGATATTAACTTGTTCTCTGGGTTTAACGTTTTGAGCCGGGGACGCGGAGAAGCCGGAGTTAGCGCCCGGGAATCCCCTAGACCGAAAGCGGCGGCCAGAGCGGAGCGCTGTTGGAGGCGGGGCCGGCTTTTCTGTCGGCGAACAAGGGCCGATGCGCTGCACCTTTAAGGAGTCGAGCCCGGAGGGGCGGGAGTGAGAGCGGCTCGGGAGCGTGCGCGGCGGGGCCGAGCTGAGCCGGGTCTGGGGACCGAGGGCCGGGCCGGGCCGGGCCGGACGGCGGGACCAGGCGGCTGAGGCCTGTCAGGTGAGCGAAGCGGAGTGTGTGTGTGTGTGGGGAGCGCCCAGGAAAGGGCTGGGGGCGCCCCAGTGGCCTGGTGACCTGCCCCCACTTTCCGAGTCCAGGGACCTTCCTGCGACGCGCTGGGTGCAAATGGGTCCTGGACCCTCAGCTCCCTTTCTGGTCCGTTTTCCCGCGGTGGCATCTGTCCTCCTCCTTGGTGCTTGGAAGGGCCCGAGACTCCCGAACTCGGGTGCATCTCCATCTCCAGGCTTCCCGGGCCGAGCTGCCACCCTCCCGAAGCCCGGGGACAGGGCGAGGTCGGGGTGGGTCCCGCACCTTCCTGCCACTCCGCCTCCCAACCTCCCGCTCCCGCAGCAGCCCGGACACCCCGGTGCCTGCAAGGTTGGGGTCCTGCGCTCCTGTTGCCTCCCCTGCCTGGAGAAAGGTCACAAGTCGCCCTCCCAGACTACAGCAGATTCCATGTCACCTCCCCCGCGTCGCCCCCCAATGTCCCTCCATACCCCCCCCACATCGCTCTCCTTGAACACCTCTCCGCTGCAGCCTGTCGGCAACCCTCACTCCCGCCCGCCCCAACTCCTTCGCCCTTGCGCCCTAGCCCCGGGTCCTCCCGGAGACCCACTCGCGGGGTGCTGGTCCACCCACCCCGACAGCCTGGTGCCCGCCGGCATCCCTGACACCCCGCCTGCGCGGACCCGGGCTTACCGGGTGCGGGTTGTGTAATGCCGGCTGCAGGGCAGAGCACATGCAGGATTTGCGTCCCCAGCCTGCAGCCGCCTGGGGAGGCCAACTGACAGGGAGGCATGGGGGAGGAAGAGGGTGGCGGAGGAGCCAGAGGCTTGGTGTCCCGGGGACACGTCTTTTGAACCTGTTTTGATGCCCTGGAAGCTGAGAAGAGTAAATAAGAGGAAGGTCCTGCCCAAGCAGAGACCTGGAGGCCAGCATTTGTGTCACCCTCTTACCTGCCCAGAAATCACTCATGGCTGGCTGCACCTGGCTTGCCAGTTAAAAATAGTTTATAATTAGCGGGTGCAGTGGCCCAGCCTGTCATCCCAGCGGCTCCAGAGGCTGAGGCAGGAGGATGTAAGCCAGCCTGGGCAACTTAGGGAGGCTGCCTCACAGACCCACACAAAAAAACTGGGCGGGTAACTCAGTGGTAGAACACCCTTGAATTCAATCCCTGGTACCCACCACCCCCCCAAAAAAAAGGAAAATAAAAATTGCTATAATTAATAATAGCTAACAGAGAATAAATAAGTACTGAGTGCCAGGTGGTAATCCCCTTTAAAAGATTATAGCCCTTACTCCCTTCAAGAGCCCCTTGAGGTGGGTGCCACTTTTAGGCCCACTTGGCAGGGGAGGTATAGGAAGCTTCCAGAGGTAGTCTTTTCCTAGGACACAGTGAGTGACCTCAGTTCCCCACTCTGAACCACTAGACTTTTTACCCAGTATTAACTAATCAATCTTCTCAGCATTTTGCTCTTTATTATTCATTTATAGTTTTTAGTTTTTTGGTACCAGGGATTGAACCCAGGGGTGCTTCATCGCTGAGCCACGTTCCCAGCCCCCACTTTTTAAAAACTTTTTTTAGATTCTTTTTCTTTTTTCTTTCTTTCTTTTTTTTTTTTGTAGTTGTAGATGCCTGTAATCTTTTAAAAGGGGATTATTACCTGCACTCAGTACTTGTTTATTATATCATGTCTTTATTGATTTTTGTAGGTGGTGCTAAGGGTGGAACCTAGTGCCTCACACATACTAGGGCGATTTCAGGAGTGTGCCACGTTCCCATGTTTATTTATTTGTTCATTTATTTATTTATTTTGCATGCTGAGGATTGAACCCAGGGCTTTGTACATTATCAGTATTTTTATAACATAGGAAATTAGAAATAATTTGTGTTCTTAGCACCAATTTATTTTCAAAAATTAGGTTCTGGGGCTGGGGATGGAGCTCAGTGGTAGAGCACTTGCCTAGTCGGTTGAGGCCCTGGGTCTGATCCCCAGTACTACTTAAATAAATATATTAGTTAATTAGCTCATTTTTCAGACCACCAAGGGGTCTTCAATGCCCTCCTCCAGGACATCGAGGCCCAGAGAAGAGAAGGGACTTGCTTGAGGCCACACAACTGGAAAGTGCGAGGGCTGGAATGCAAACATGTTTCTGAGATGGTTCATGGGTTGCTTCCTGGGCACCCCTGCTGCTCTGGTCCCTTTGCCTAGGCTCCTGGAGACCATTTCCTCCCTCCTGGCTTCCTCTGCTGAGGCCCAAGAGGGGAACACTCTTCTCCCTGGGCGGCCTTTGCCTAGGCCCTTCCAGAAATCTCTGATGCTAACTCTTACTGCCCTCTAGGGTGCAGCTCGGCAGCTCTGCAGATCCCTCCAGGAACACTTCCCTGATTTCTCTTGTCCCCAACTAAAAGCTTTTCCTGCCTCCCATTCCCATGGTGGCACTTGGAAAGTTCTGCTCTGTGCAACTGTCTTGTCCTCTTGGGTGCAGTTGTGTTAGCAAGATCAGAAGTGCTCCCCAAGGCCCCTCTCTCCACCTACCTGGTCAAGCCCCAGGACAGAAAGAGGGTGAGAGAGAAGGGTAGGGGGAGGACCACAGCGGGTGCAGTGGGTCCCAAAGTAAAAAGTAAAAATAGACCCAGGATTTATGGACCCTGCATCACCAACCTCCCTCAGTGAGTTTCAGTCTGATCTCCGAGAAAATTATTTTGCCTGGTGTCTACCATTGTAACCTTGCATATTTGCTTTTGTTTATAACACAAAGGATTTCCACCACAAAATCAGGCAGGCTGCGCCCATATCTCCCTTTTACCACTTGCTATAGCTATGTGTCCCTGGACAAGTTACCTAACTTCTCTGAGCCTCAGCTTTTGGAAACAGTACCTGCTTCAGAAGGTAGTGGTAATCCTTAGCTAAAATAATGCATAGGGCCCAGTGTGTGGTAGACAGTCAATAAACACCAGCCAGCTATTATGAAGAGCAGCGGTAGTTGACCACTACTTTGAATCACAAGAGCTCTATTAAATCATTAATAAACGGCTCACATAGAGCCGTTCTACTTAGGAGGCAGGCAAGGGAGTTCAGGCCAAGCAGAAGTAATCATATTTTGTATTCAGTAAGGCCACGGGCAAACTGCTGGATAATGGAGTTAAGTTCCATTCTTTTTTTTTTTTTTTTGGTACCAGGGATTGAACTCAGGTGCACTTAACCAGTGAGCCACATCCCCAGCCCTTTTTTATATTTTATTTAGAGACAGGGTCTCGCTGAGTTGCTTAGGGCCTTGCTAACTTGCTGAGGCTGGCTTTGAATTCACAATCCTCCTGCCTCAGCCTCCTGAGGCCCAAAGATCAGAATTTTGTGAAAGCTCTCCCCAGGGGATTCAAATGGGTTGAGAAGAACTGCCTTAAGACGGTGAACTTAAACAAAAATCCCTGTGGACTGTAAGACGGTGTTTTGGGGTAGATGGCGTGAGTGGTTACAATGTCCGTCACATTTATCACAATGATGAGACTAGGTCAGAGTGGAGCAATTTTGTTTCCTCTAAAAGAATTAGTGGCTGGAGGTCTGGAGACTTTTGTTTGTTTGTTTTTGGTACCAGGGATTGAACCCAGGGGCACTTAAACACTGAGCCACATCCCTAGCCCTATTATATTTATCTAGAGAGAGGGTCTTGCTGAGTTGCTTAGGGCCTCACTAAGTTGCTGAGGCTGGGTTTGAACTCACAATCCTCTTGCCTCAGCCTCTGGAGCTGCTGGGATTACAGGCATGCACTACCATGCCTGCTGGAGACATTTTTGATTATCATAACTTGTGGATAGCATCAGTGGCCAGTTATGCTGCTGAATGTCCTACAATGCATAGGAAAGCCCCACAACAATTACTGGCCCCCGTGGTCAGTTGTGCCAAGTAGAGAAACCTGTGCCACATGTGTTTTCCACAGCATTCTTTCTAACCTTGAATGTAGATGAAGGTGTTCCCCCAGATCAATCCCTGAGAAGCCCTCTGGACCAGTCCAACCTTCCCTGTCCCAGAGCCCAGGTGGCCATCGATGCCTGTGGCTGAATGCACTGGGTCTGTCCTGGGCTCCACTGGCACTGTGGAGCTGTGCCCAGCAAACTGCTGACTCAGGGGAACAGACGGCTCCGGAGGGTACGGGCCAAGGTCCTGACATTGCTGCGGGCTGGGATCCTCATCTTAAGTCATCACCTAAAGTAACAGCAGCCTTCGCCTGAGGCAGTTTCCAGAAACTTTGGCTGTTTGACTGTTGGCGTGGAATGATGTACCCAGACTTGGATGCCAGCACTGTGTATAATGACATCTGGGGACTGTGTTTGATAGGTGAGACTCCTGATTATAGAGACAGTGGCACAGATGCTGCCCACAGAGCTCTCAAGCATCTAGACAGTCCCCTGAGCAGTGTAGGGCAGGGGACTGCGGTGTGACAGGGCTGCCTGACTTCCATGAAGGCAGGTGGGATCTCCCCAGCTGAGCAGGGGAAGCTCAGAATGTGCCAGTCACCACTCTGAACTGGTTCCTTGTACCATCTCTTCGTCTCATTTTGTCCCCACACTGATGTTCCAAGAAGTTCAAGGTCCCATGGCTGGTCTGTGGCACAGGTTAACCTGTGAACCCAGGTTATTGAAGTACAAAACTGAATCCTCCGAGAAGCATTTGCAGATGGTAGTGCCACGTTAACAGCCAGGACTGGCAGATGTGTGGAGCTTGCTAGGTGAGAGGGAAATCTGTGTGCTGGGAGAAGAGAGCCCGTGCACTAGTGTCTGTACACTAGTGCAGAAGGGCATAGTGTGTTTGGGGTTGCAGATCTATCCAGGAAAGAGGTGGGGGGAGATGGGACCTGAAAGATGGACAGGCACCAAATCGTATGTGGCCTTGCACCTCATGCTGAGGGCCATTGGCGGACCACTGGTGAGTTGGGTCAGGGGAGGAAAAAGGTGTGTGATATTTGGTAGCTTGCTTAACCTCTCTGGGTCCCAGATCCCCATCAGGACTGGCGTCTCGAACCATGCTGCTCTGATGAATGTTCATTGTGTCAGTGGCTGTAAGAATAGAGCAGCCCACATTGACGCTGGCCCTGCAGCGTGTTGATTTATGGCTTGTTTCCTCTCACTCTGAGCAGCTGGTGGTATTCTGACTTTCCATCCTGGTTTTTGGTATTTATCAAATGCCACCAAGGGCAAAACACTGTGGATGCTAAGGACTCAGACAGATCCAATGATGTGGTTGGACTTGACTTGGAGGAGCTGGCATCCTGTGAAGGGCACAACCAGTGTTCCTACCCCAAGGGACAAGCCACAGATGTCACAAGATGTGCAAACACCCTGGGCAGGAGGATGAGGGGCTGGTTGCCAGGCACCCAGGAAAGGCTAAGGGAGCCAATTGCTCTGTTAGAAGAGTTTTAAAGGAGTAGATGGGGTAGGGAGAGGGTGTCTTACTGGTAGAGAGAGTGGGGACAGCCAGGCTAGGTGGCACACACCGTAATCCAGCAGTTTGGGAGGCTGAGACAGGAGGATCTCGAGTTCAAAGCCAGTCTCAGCAACTTAGCAAGGTCCTAAGCAACTCAGTGAGACCCTGTCTTTAAATAAAATACAAAATAGGGTTGCGGTGTGGCTCAGTGGTTGAGTTGCTCTTGAATTCAATCCCTGGTACACCACCCTCCCCCACCAAAAGAGAGTGGGGACAGTGGAGGAAAACAGAAAGTCCATCCAGGGCATTCACAAGAGGGTCAGATCAACAGTGTGTCTTGTACCTATTCCCCGGGTTTCCAGGTTGTAGGCAGAAACAGGTTTTCATGCTAGGGAGATGTTACTAATGGATCTGTGTCCTACGTTCTGCTCCACTCTCTGTTCTCCATCATGGG